GGGTTCCCGCCAGGGTCCCCGCCCCACCCAGGGCGGCATCTCCTCCATCAGATTGGGGTCTTGTAATGGAAGCCATTGGACTTAGTTAGGCCTCTTTAGGACTGAGGTCATGTCCCCTCTCAGTCCTGGGGGAGGGTCTCCCCATCAAACTGGGGGCTCTGCAGGGACCAGACCAGGTGTAAGTGGCGTGCCCTCTTGGGTGGCAGGCAGCAAGTGGTACAAGCAGCACCTCTCCTACCGACTGATGAACTGGCCTGAGCACCTGCCCGAGCCAGCAGTTCGGGGGGCCGTAAGAGCCGCCTTCCAGCTGTGGAGCAACATCTCGGCGCTGGAATTCTGGGAGGCCCCGGCCACCGCCCCGGCCGACATCCGCCTCACCTTCTTCCAAGGGGACCACAACGACGGGCTGAGCAACGCCTTCGACGGCCCAGGTGCTGACCGTCCACCCCCAGCCTATTCTCCCCAACACGCAGCCCCGGCTTCCAGAGGTGGGAGGGACACCCACAGAAGAGGCAGTCCAGGCTGGTGGGGAACATTCACGTTCCTTGTGGCCTCAGCCAAGCCCCCTTTCCCTCAGTCTCTCCTTCTCTAAAATGGACACAATGCTTCTTCAGGAAAGGTACCTAGTGGTATCACAGGGCTGAAGAGGAAGTGCATGAGGCTCTGGATAGGAAGGGTTTTGCAAACTCTGAAGAAGATGATTTGTTTTAGAAGAAACCTCAGGTCTTGTCCATCCATTCCTGCTGCTAGCAAAGCCTGCACCTTACCTGTTCTACCGGAGCAGATGATCCCTAGAAGAGGGCCCTCAGCGAACAGAAGCAACCGTTCGTCCCACTCCTGCCCCCTCCCCTCACTGTGCTACCCCTGCCTGCCACAGACTCCTAGCCCCAGACAGGTCTCCTTTGCCTACCCTGAAGGACTGTGGTAGCAATTTAAATGGCTCTCCTCTTCTGCACAGCACTAACCTTTAGAACCGCAAAGCCGCCCCTCTGCTAATCTCTCCCCTATTGCCAAGAAACCTGATCAGTGTGTCCTGGGAATGTGCCTCCCCCAGTGGATCCTGTTTTCCATCAACCCCCTTGCCACACACACCCCCACCCCACCCTCACCCCCGCACCCAGAAAAGCCCATTTCCAGGTCTAGTTTCTGGGACCTCCATTAGGAATAGAGGAAAATGTAGGCTTTGTGGAATTCTTTACCCATGGATCTTTTTTTTTTTTTTCCCCATGGATCTTAAAAGAACATTCTGGCAAAGGCAGACATTATTTGTTAAGCTAAATCATTAAGTTCAACTTTTTAAAAAAAGACTTCGAAAAAATTCAGGGGATGTATTTGCCTTAAGGTTTATAGATTATCTCAGGGCGATAGTTAAAAAACCCCACAACAACTCACTGCCATTGAGTCAATGCCAACTCATAGTGACCCTATCGAACTGCCCCTGTGGGTTTCCCAAGACACGGGAGTAGAAAGCCTCATCATTCTCTTTCAAAGGGACTGCTAGTTTCACACTGCTGACCTTGTGGTTACTAGCCCAACTCACAACCACTGTGCCACCAGGGCTCCTGGGGCAATAGTTACAGGGCTTCATTTCAGAGCGGGTTTAAGGCTGCTAGATCTTTTGAAAAGAATCTTCCTGTGGCCCTTGTGATGTGCAGGGCACGGTTTTAAGTATTATATTTGGCAATTAGGCACACATTGAATCCTCAGGACAAACCAACAAAAGCTCAGTCATCATCCACATTTTCAAATCAGAAATCTGTGGTACAGAGAAGTTAAGCTACTTGCCCAAGGTCACACAGCTCCAACATGGTAAAATGAGAATTTGAACCCTGATACTCTAGCCCCACATGTCTACACCGGCTGTCTCTTCAGCACCCTCATCCCACAGCCTGGTCATCTGTCCACTGTCTCCCACTCTAGCTCAATTACACAGCAGGAAACAGCTCAATGCATTTGCTCAAATGCACCTCAAAGTGCATTGACCTGGCCTGCGGGAACTTGGAGAAGTTGGTGGTGACACGGTTAGTTATTGGGCCGCTAACTACAAGGTCAGCAGTTTGAAACCATCGCGCACCCCTGAAGGAGAAAGACGGCATTTTCTCCTCCTGTAGAGTCACAGTCTTGGAAACTCACAGGGGCAGTTCTACCCTGCGCTGTGCGTCTTTTGGGGTTTTTGGGTGGGAACTAGGGTGCTGCGAGCGCTAGTGCGCCCCTCACCCCCACCCCACCCCCACATCGCCTGCAGGGGGTGCCCTGGCGCACGCCTTCCTGCCGCGCCGAGGAGAAGCGCACTTCGACCTGGACGAGCGCTGGTCCCTGAGCCGCAGCCGCGGGCGCAACCTGTTCGTGGTGCTGGCGCACGAGATCGGCCACACGCTCGGCCTGCCCCACTCCCCCGCGCCGCGCGCGCTCATGGCGCCCTACTACAAGAGACTGGGCCGGGACGCGCTGCTCAGCTGGGACGACGTGCTGGCTGTGCAGAACCTGTACGGTGAGCCCACCCCCACTTCCGCACCTCCTGCCCTCCTTGGACGCCAGCTGCCTCCTCAATCCTAAATTCAGCAATCTCCCTCTCCCTCACCAATCCCGAGGTCCTTGACTCCTGCCCTGAAGAGGCCAGCCTCAGGTTATGCTGTCCCCCTGCCCGGGCCCTCCAGCCTCGGTCTGATGCACACCTCAACATCGCAGACCCCATCCTTAGCACCATCTTGCCCCGCCCCAGACCCCAAAGCCCCACTTCCTGCTTCCACCTCTGCTTGTCCTTGACGCTTTGCCTGGCTGTGGATTCAGATAAGGTCTTCCCTCATAGGGTAGGCAGGGACAAGGGCACTGGCCAATGCTGCTGTCCATGGAACCTGCCAGGACCCCAGGCCTGCCCATGCCCTGGCATCTTCCACCAGGCTTGAGGTACAGCAAACAGAGCCAGAGAATGGTGGGTTCCAGTCACCAGTCCATATCTGACTAGCCCTTGGGCAACACATTTCCCCTCTTTGTGCTGGGGGCATGTAATTAAAGCCTGCTTACCTCACAAGGCTGTTAGGCGAAAGTAGTGTGCTTTGTAGTTGGAGAAGCCTGCACAAATGTAATAGTAATAGTTGCTGTTTCATGAGTCTCTCCCATGGGCTGGGCATTTAACTTACTCACCCAACACCCATGACATAAGAATCGTGTTGTTCACAGATGAGTGGAGTGGGACTCAGAGGTTGGGTACCTTCCTCAAAGTCACACAATTAGGGAGTTGAAAATGGAAATCAGGAGTTGTTGCCAGATTTGCAGTTCACTTGAACGCTATGCATTTCATAAGAGAAAGATAATTATTATCTTTGATTATCTATGATTATAATTATTGCAATTCTCACAGCCTGGTCCCTGCCTGTCTTAGTCCTAAATGCTTGTTTGGCACCCAACCCCAAACTTATCTCAATAGGCCTGACTTTCCCAGACGTCTCTGTTCAATGCTTTGGTTAACACCAACACCCGGGACAACTCATCTCCCCAAGCCCCGCTCTCTTTTTCTGCCCCTCCTATTAGATAATGGCTAGAGGAACCAATGGACAGCTCTTGAACCCCTTCCCCACAGGCCCCTCCTTATATACGTGTCCCCCTCTTCTTCCTCCTCATAAAGGGAAGCCCCTGCGAGGCTCCGTGACTGCCCAGCTCCCGGGGAAGAAGTTCACTGACTTTGAGGCCTGGGACCCTCGCAGTTCCCAGGGCAGGCGCCCTGACACCCAGGGCCCTAAGTACTGCCACTCTTCCTTCGATGCCATCACTGTAGGTAAGATGACCCCGCATGTGCCATGTCTCATTTCTTTCTTGTCCCCACCTGCACATCTTCAGGGGGCTCCAGAGCTCTAGGACACGGCATGGGGAGGAGTTATAAAATCCAGAAAGCCCAAGCCAGAGACATTCCTCGCGGCAGCAAGCCCACGGCAGGCAAACATCAGGGGCCCCTCCTGCCCACATTCCCTTCTGCACCAACCGAGTGTGCGGGTCTTCCTCGGCTAGTTTGGGAGGCTGGCTTCTAGAACGAGAGCTTTCCCTGGGAAGAGGCCAGGAGGCTGATGGTCATGCCTCTCTTCTTTCGTGTCTCGAGACAGACGGGCAGCAGCGACTGTACATTTTTAAAGGGAGCCACTTCTGGGAGGTGTCTGCCGATGGGAACGTCTCTGAGCCCCGCCCACTGCAGGAAAGATGGGCTGGGCTGCCCCCCCATATTGAAGCTGCCGCAGTCTCATTGGAGAATGGAGACTTCTACTTCTTTAAAGGTACCGGCCCCCGGACTCGATGAGAAAATTGAGGCCTAGCAAAGGCAAGGGTCTTACCCAAGGACAAAAGGGCAAAGAGTTCCTGGTGGAATCTCTCTTCCAACTCGAACCTGTGACCTCAGGGAAGCTCCCCCTAGGGGTTCCTCTGGGGCAAGGAGTTGAGGGCTGCAGCCCAAACAGGGAGGGAATAGTTTCAGAGAAGAGTCTAGAAGGATAGCAAGGATCTCTGCTGAGTTTAGCAGTTCGGCAGAAGAGTTGTGTAGTCCACGGAATCCTGGCTGTGAAGTTGACCACCTCACTCAGCTTCGGAGCTTGGATTTCTTGCAGAGGGAAAGACGACCTCGCGTGTGTTGGAAGACAGAGCAGAATGAAGAGTGAGCAGCGTGTCGCGAGATACGTGCCAACGCTTCAGTGCTAGTATTCATTCCGTGCCGGAGATTGAGTGCCTTCCATGCGCTAGGCACCTCCGCGGAAAGTTGGCGCGATAGAAAGCAATGAACCAGACAAAACTCCGTGACCTCACAGAGCGCCTAGGGATGCGTTGGCCGTAAAGAAAGCTCCTGGCCTTCCCTGTTTTCCATTGCTTCCAGGGGAGAGGGCCTTGCTTCCTGCAAGTGGTGAATGAGTTCATTCAGCTCCATCTGCCCACTGCCAGCACTGCGAAAGTCGAGCCCACAGCAGTCCTACCTCCCCAATCCTTCATAACTCAAGATTCGCGTAATCCATGAGGATTACTGCGAATACCCGCAACTCCACCTTGGGGGTGGGGAAGGAAGGGGTGGGGTCAGGGGCGGTTGACATCAGGTTGAGAGCTTCCAGCTCACCCTGGCACTCCCAATGCCCCACAGGTAGTCGATGCTGGAGGTACCGGGGTTCCAAGCCAATGTGGGGCTTCCCGCAGTCGTGCCGGGCAGGGGGCCTGCCCCGCCACCCCAACGCTGCGCTCTTCTTCCCTCCCCTGCGCCGCCTCGTCCTCTTCAAGGGTGCGCGCTACTACGTGCTGGCGCGGGAGAAGATGCAAGTGGAGCCCTACTATCCCCGAGGCCTCCAGGACTGGGGCGGCGCCCCCGAGGAGCTCAGTGGCGCCCTGCCGAGGCCGGACGATGGCTCCATCTTCTTCTTCCGCGACGACCGCTACTGGCGCGTCGACCAGGCCAAGCTCCGGACCACCACCTCGGGGCGCTGGGCCGCAGAGTTACCCTGGATGGGATGCTGGCATGCCAACTCGGGGGGCGCCCTGTTCTGATGGCGCCACCGCGTGCTAAGCCAACAGGATTCTTCTGCCGCAAGGGCGGGACCTTCCTTGGAAGCTTGCGAGCCCGGAAAACCTCCTCCAGGAAGCCTGTCTGCCTTTGTTCCCTAGAGGAAGTGGCCTTTTCGCTGTGCTCTTCGCACCACATGGACGTGGAGTGGGGGTCAGTCCCAGAGTGCTTTTCCTCCAGGACCCCTTTCCGCCCACGCCTTTGGGGATTTTATTCCAGACCCGCCCACCAGGGGCAGCACTGCGACTTAACCAGGGAGAATGCAACTTTGTATACCGAAGCTGGGGACCCTGTTGCAAAACCCCCAGGGACTCCCCTGCCTTATTTCTTAAGGAACTGTCTTATTTAAATCGGGGGGTGGGGACGCCCGAAAGAAGCATGAATGGGCCAGAAGCACGGGTCTCCAGCCTCAGAGACTGAAGGGGCCAGGCCCATGAAGCTTCGGGTTTCAGCTTTTTGGGGAGTGAAATAAAGAGCCCCCCTATCCAGCCCCCGCTGGTGGGCTCGAGGCGGAACCCGCTTTCTTCGGAGTCGCTCTTCCATCCATTCCAGAGAGAGCCCCGGGGGCGCGGGTGGTGGGACAAAGCCACAACTGAAAAGCCAGGGCTGCCTGTGTGCATACGCACGTGTGTGATGATGGTGGTTTGCCTTGCCTCCAATAGAAAAATGCCCTGCCTCCTCCCAGGCCAGATGGAGAACTGCATGCGGTGGGGGTGGGGGGCCTGCAAGCCTGCAGCCCTTGGGAATACAGCCTCCACCAGGGCTCCAGGGACTGGGAAGCCCTGCCTGCCCTGCCTATCGGAGGGAGGCCTGGTCCTCACAATGGCCCCATTCTCCTGGCCACACAAGCAGCATCTGAAGGAAGCTCCTACCAGCTGGCCCATAATAGTTGAAATTCCTGGAGAGGGAACCATCTCCCCAGCCAGGCTGATGTTAGCAGCTAGCTCTCTAGTCTTCTCCCTTCGAACCCCAAGACACACCTGCTGGCACCTCATTTTTGCACACTCTTGAGCCTCGCGGGAAGGGGAGACTGCTCTGGCCAAGGGTTCAGGCCCCAGCCCCCAGTGGGCAACTTCTTCCGTTTCCTGCTTTGCATAGCTAGGACAGTGGCCTTTGCCCGCATTTGTGTGTCCTCTTCTGGGAGAGGGGAGGGAGGAGGCTCTCTGCCCACCCCCTTCCCTGTGGCCTGAGAATTTCAAAACCAAACTCACTGTCATGGAGAGTCCATTGATTGCATTTCACTGTCACCCTAGCGGACAGAGTCGAACTGCCCCTGTGGTTCTGAAACCCTTTGTTTACACGAGTGGAACGTCGCCTCTTTCTCTGGCCCAAGGAAAAGGTACCTTTTCATCATCTCGCAGAATTACCGCGACCCCACTGCAGCAGGGTCCCCTGACACTTGAATCACAGACTTTATTGAAGGATTCGCGGGAAGAGGGCAGGTTTTTATTGGGGCCCAGGGAGCCGGGAGCTTATTTTCTCTAGGCGACGCCTCTGCTCCCGGACTCAGAGGACCTGGAGGCCCCCCGGGGATGGACGTGAGGCCTTGTCCGGAGGAGCAGGGCGCAGAGGCCCAGGGTGCAGCCTTGGCG